GCCGGGGTAAAAGGTTCCATTATTCGTTTGTATATATGGCACCGAGGCTTTGCACTATGCAAAGACTTTTGCGAGAGAAAAGCGGCCGCGCGGCGACAAAAGGTCGCAACGTCGTGTACGGGCCGAGCCAAGAATGGGACATCAGCTACGAGGTTTTCGGGCACAAAGCGAAGGGGGTCGAGGCCGGTCGTCGTTGACAAAAACTACTCGCTAGTAAGAGCTGCAGATTGACGACTTCGGTCACCTAAAAGTATGTCCCGGTTAATAATAAAATCTACCGGTTGATGTGTCAAAGGATTTTCAGATTTTTTTTATTTCTGCGTGAAAATGTAACTTTATTTAACTTGAAACGGATAGAAGCCGAAAATCCTACAAGATTACGCGCTGTACTTAATAACGCTGTACTTAATAAATACGATGCTGGCTGTCTTTATGAATTCTTATTTTTTATTTACTTTTATTTTATACATAATTATTTATTATCTAAATGTAGCGTACAATATTTTTGCATGGGACTTCGAGCGATAACGATCTCACGACCTTTGACACTTTGACACGATCGCCGTAGAACCAAGTTGACCTCGTATAAAACTGATCGTTCCTTTAGGACGTACAGCACACCTGACCAAGGAGCGAGAGTCTTTCATCGCTTCCCGGAAGACTCTCGTCTTCTTGCAACCCTTTACTCCGTGGTGGTACGTGTCCCATTGTGTCAGCGCGGATCGCCACTGCCGGTTACACCAGGTGTGTTAGTGCTCGTGCGTTTCTTCTTCGTGAAGCGTGATCGTCGATGATGCGGCGATCCGTGCACGAATTATATAGTCGTCGCTTTTATGAAATTCTCAGTCGGCTGGAAAGATCCCCAGCCGAATAAGTATTGAACGATCGGGATATAATGTATTCTCTTACAGTTAATTATTACATCGCCACGTAATATTATGCAGTTAATGTTAACATTATGTTAAATTATTAGCGTGTCGTCTGTATTATATTTCTTCTTAAATCTACTTAACTGTTATCACCAATTTATAACAATATTTGAAGTTCATAAATTAAAATATTAGCGAGAGGAAAGATTTGCACAGTAATCGTCATCATTCAATTATCAATTCGTTCCGTCTCTGACTACTTCAAAGATCTATTCGATAAAAGAGAGCCGAAAAGGAGACCACTTGAAAAACGTGAGAGACAAATAATAAGATGAAAGAAGTAACGGAGGTATCCACCGCTGCGTTAATATTGATTCGAAGTAACCTCGCGATACAAAGGCTATATTCGTTACTCTCTTTTTTTATATCTCAACTGATCTGAAGCAAGCGATGTGGTCCAATAGTTTTTTAAAAAATTCTTGGCCATATTAAGACATTTCGAGGCAGTGGGGTCGATACATTACTTATCAATCAATTTTTCAATTTTTTAGTAGTAATATCTTTTTAGTAGTAATATCTATCTAAAATATTATAAATTTAAGTTGGTTAATCTAGTTTTAATAACATCATTTAAATATGACTTATGAATTACCTCTCTATAACGCACTTTACTCTTACTTTCATGCACATAACTTTTTTCTGAATTACCGGGAAAGCCAAAGAACTCGTAATCGTGTGAAATCTCACGCCGGCAGGCCATTTAGGAGCCTAAAATACCCGAGTCACTATACGAGTAACGAATGGGCCTTATATTTCAGTAGCGGCGATCAAAAGCGGCGCGAGGCATCGGGCCAATATACCGGCAGAATGGCTCATTAGCCCGTGGAGGACCTTTAAGGCCGCGGACAAAACAATCTCTGCTTCGTAGCAGCAGCAACCTGTTACCCGGGCCTTATTTCAGGTCCTTAAGGTAGCGTGCGCGCAACATATGGCTCGCGGGCCCGAGTTCTGGCAGAT